GTTTCCATCCATTGTTCCTTGTCTGGCCTACAGTCATTTTAGAAAATAGCTTGACCCCTTCCTCCTCTCTGTGGCAGCCCCTCAAAATTGGAAGACTGCTACCCTATCTCCCCTGGTCCTTCTCTTCCCTAGACTAGCCAGGCCCAGTTCCTGCAACCGTTCATCATAGGTTTTAGTCTCCAGTCCCCTCATCATCCTGGTTGCTCTTCTCTGAACTTTTTCTAGAGTCTCCGCATCTTTTTTATAATGTGAGGACCAAAACTGGATGCAGTGCTTCATCAAATGCATTGCTAATAGAGGTAGTCCTCTACTTAAGACAGTCCCTTAGTGACCAAAGTTACAAGGGAGCCAAAAATACAGGAGGTCTTCGAATTATGATCACAATTGAGCCTGCGATTTATGTTGTTAAATGAGCCATTCTGATTTTGTCAACCCAACTTTCAAATGCTTCTAGTCTCTTCAATGGTGTGATGGCCCAGGGTGGGATACAAAGCAAACACAGTCACAGAAAACAGGTGAAGCCCCTTTTTTTCCTTCACTTTGCTTCCAAGCTCCGAATATCTTTGACGGAAGCCAAAAAAACTCCCACACAAACAGTTACAAGAAGGAAAAAAACAACACAAACCAGGCAAGGTAAGGGCTGGAGGACGTCCACAGATAACACACACTGGGAAGGATGCCAAACTCAGAGAGGAACCATAAACTAGAGATATTTCCATGCGTTGTTTCCAGCACTCGCCCGTACGCAGCTCCGTCCTCTTATCCAGTTGTCACAGCTGCAGCCCATGAAGAGGATCAAGGGCCTCTCCCAAGTAGACCACTGTCTCTCCCTTATCCTCTCCTCCCTGCCTGCCCTAGGATGAAGAGGGGATGGGCCTGGGTCCTCCTCTGACTGCCCAGCCGGCCTCTGCCCTTCCCCAGCCTCCTCCACAACCTCCGGAGCCACACTTCCACTCCCTGTCGGCTGTTCCTCCTCTCCCTCAGAGTCGGTCTCCGCCAGGGGCATGACCAATGGCTTTCTATCCGAGACCAACTCTCTGCTCCTTAGAGCAGCATCTGACCAGACTGGTCTTGGATCTCAGGCTTCTGTCGTGACTGCAGAAGCCCGATATTAAATATTCAGTATTTTAAATTAGCTTTTTCAAACGCATTGCTAACTCTTTGCCCTTTAAGCCTTAACCTTCCAAGGAGAAGGTTAAGAGAAGCCAGGATTTGGCAGGAGAGCCTTTGAATTGAGACAATTCAGTTTGTTGTGGAAAAATTTGAGGAGCCGAACAAACGGGGCACCATCATTCACAACCTACTGGGGGCGGGGGGGGGAACCAAAATCCAGACGGCAAGATGATTCGTCCATCCTCTCTTCTTGCAAAGAAGGAAATCACAGCATGACACAGCAGTTCCTGTGCTTAGATCCATCCTCTATTGCTCAAAAGTCGCTCTGACCAGATCAGAAACCCGCACAGATGGGGACCACTTTTTATTGTAAACCTACATGTTTTAACGCTGTGCCCCGCTCCGCCCCGCCCCCGGCCAAACTTTTTGGGTCCCAGGGACTGGTTCCGTGGAGAGAGGTTTTTCCATGGACCTAAGGGGGAGTAATTTTGTGTGCTGCCTGCATCCCACAGATGGGGCTTCACTTGTTTGCCTGGCTCAGTTTCTGGCATGCCGCGGCCTGGTGCCAGTTCATTGACCGGAAGAGAATAGAATAGAGTAGAGTAGAATAGAGAATAGATTAGATTAGAATAGAATAGAATGGAATGGAATGGAAAATAGAATAGAGAATAGAATAGAATATAATAGAATGGAACAGAACAGAACAGAACAGAACGGAACGGGATGAGACGGGACAGGACAGGACAGGACAGGACAGGACAGGACAGGACAGGACAGGATAGGATAGGATAGGATAGGATAGGATAGGATAGGATAGGATAGAATAGAATAGAACAGAACAGAGTAGAATAGAATAGGATAGAATAGAGAATGGAATGGAATAGAATGGAAAATTAGAAGGGAAGAGAAGAGAAGAGAAGAGAAGAGAAGAGAAGAGAAGAGAAGAGAATAATAGAAAATAGAATAGAAGATAATAGAGAATAGAATAGAATAGAATAGAATAGAGAATGGAAGGGAATGGAATGGAAAATAGAATAGAATAGAAAATGGAATGGAATGGAATGGAATGGAATAGAATAGAATAGAATCTGGAAGGGACCTTGGAGGTCTTCTAGTCCAACCCCCTGTTCTGGCAGGAAACCCTATAACCACTTCAGACAAATGGTTTTCCAATCACTTCTTAAAACCTTCCAGTGTTGGAGCATTTACAACTTCCGGAGGCAAGTTGTTCCATTCATTGTTCTAACTGTCAGGAAATTTCTCTTCATTTCCAGGTTGAATCTCTCTTTGTTCAGTTTCCATCCATTATTCCTTGTCTGGCCTTCGGGTGCTTTGGAAAATAGGGAAAAGGGATTTTGCAGTATATCCTTCCCCTGCCACACCCACCAAGCCACGCCCACCAAGCCACGCCCACAGAACCGGTGGTAACAAAACACTGAATCCCACCACTGATAGACATGCAATCCAAATTCAGACTTCTCGCGGTAAATACTTTTTTTAATTTTTATTTCGGAACAGACACACTGTATAATTGAAAGACGGCTTTATTTGCGGTGTTTGTTACAAACATTTTTTTTAAAAAAAGTATTTACCAATTCAGACTCTCAAACAGGGAGTTCTGGATTTACAACTATCAATGAGCCCCAAATTTTATATTGCCCAGCGAGGCAGCTCAGTGAGCTTTGTCAATTTTAAGACCTTCTTTCTTGCTGCAGTTGTTGTAAAAATGGTGGTCAAAAGGAGCAAAATTCACTTCACAAACACCTCCCTGAGCAACAGAGGTGTGGGGCTCAAATTATGGTCATAACTCGAGGACCGCCTCTAACTGCTTCTGAATGGGGAGGCTCCATTGGAGACCGACGGATAAGTGTGATCACAAACACTCGGCCGCTTACACACACACACACACACACACACACACACACACAGAGCGCCCCCCACAGCCCCGCCTTCAACCCGCCCAGCCCCGTTCCCTTTACCTGGGCGTCAGCGCTCCATCTTCTCCGGCACGGCGCGGGATCCACTCCGGAGATCCAGCCCGCGTGGGAAGGGGGTCTCGCGCTAAGCCGCCCCCACTCCGGGGCGATCCCTTGCTCCCATCTTCAGGAAGCGGCTTCCTTGGAGTAGTGGGGGGTGGGGGCGTAAGAAAGAGAGGGGAGAAAGGGAGCTCAGCTCTCCCCGCTCGCCTCGCTCCGTCTGCAGGGATCGCCCCCCCCGCGCCTCCCCTGCGAGGCCGGCTTCGCTCCTCCTCCTCTCTTCTTCTTCTTCTTCTTCTTCTTCTTCTTCTTCTTCTTCTTCTTCTTCTTCTTCTT